AGTCAGTGCTGTGAAGAGCTGCCTATGAGAAATCACCGAGAAGGTTTGGGAATTTTTGCAATAAATGACAACAGGGCAAGGGCAGCGCTGGGATTTTCTTTTGAGGAGTTTTATTGTAACCTCAGGTCGGAATAGGTGCAGCCTGAGGTCTGCAGTGTCAGTGTGAGCTGGCAGGACAAAGGCACGGGAGGGTTCTGGGCTGTAATGAACGCTCCCCCTTTGTGCTCTAACAGCAGGGAGGAGCTCGGGAGGGGGGATAGGGATAGGATACGGCAGCCCTGTGGCCCTGCAGCCCACACCGAGTCACAGGAAGGAAACTTGCTGCCAGAGCAGTGTGTATTTTTTTTTTCCCAGTCTTTGGTGACTCCTGGAGCTCTCAGACAGATCTCAGACCCCTCTGGTGTCTCTCTGTCAAGGCACACTTGTTAAAACACGGCTTTTGCTGTTGAGGACGCTCCGCTGGGGCCGGAGCACACAAAGGCAAACAGAGCTGGACATCCTCTGTTTACACAGGGCTGGGAGAGCCCTGCTGGCCTGGCAGACACTGTGCTGAGTGCAAGCACTGGCAGGCAGGCTCCTAAGAGGTTAAAATAAAGCACATTCCTGCTGACTGCATGGGCTGGTGTCAAGCGAGAGCAGAGCTGCTCTATAGGCAGACACTACGTCACGGTGTTATCTTTGTTTAGCTTGTCTGTGCTTTATCATGTTGCCCAACAGTTTTAATAAAAAAAAAGAGAAGGAGGAGGAGGAGAAAGGAAAAAAAAAAAAAAAGACTAGTATGAATAGTTGTAAGTAGAAGTATCTGAAAGCAGCAGATCTGGAGTGCCTTCCAGCAGCTGCTGGCTGAAACAAAGAGGAGCATTATGAGAGGCACAATCAGTGTGTTTGCTATCTCTGCTCTCAGTTGCAGGGCAGACTCAAGCCGTCACAGGAATGAATTCTGAAGGCTGGAGTTTGGAGTTGGGGAATTTATAAAACACAGTTGTTTTATCAGAGCGTTGCCTTGCCAGCTGTGTGATGGGAGTCTGGTTTCCATGGAGTGTGGTCAGCTGGGGGAGACAAATCTAGTCCCTAAAACAGCATTTGGGGCCGTAGTCTCCTCTGTGGTTTCTCTCTCTCTGCTTTAAATTCACATGTGGTAAGGAGGAAAGGAGTGGGGGAGGAATGTTATTTAAATGAAGAGCAGTTTTAGCCCTAATCAAATGTGCAGGCCCCATGAGAACTCAGGGTGCTGTGCAAAACCAGTGTAGGAATTTGCATTTTAGCCCTCTAAACAATGTAAAGAGATTGTTTCCTCAATTTCCCCTGTTATCTGGACTCTTTTTGGCATTGTTCTCCTGCCTGGGGTGGGCAGGAGGGGCTGTACAAACTGAACTGTCCTGTAAGAGACTCTCACTGCTCCCCCCCTAATCAAAGTTTGCTTAATTTGATTAATTTTGGCCCAGTGGTGCTGGTCAGATCCTGGTATGTTTAGCTGAAGTCTTGGTGTTCCCTGCATAATCAGGAAAATGCATTATCAAATTGGATAGGCTTTCTTTAGAAGCCCTTCTTTTCTTTGCTAAGCTTCTTTAAAATAGGTTTCTTCCAGCATTCAATAGCATTTTAACCAGATTTTATACTCTGAATGTCTGAGTATAAAATTATTATAATATATATACATTATATATATTATATATATTATATATAAAATTATTATAGTCTGAATGTTAATATATAAATGCTGTTCTTATAATACATAGAAGAAATGAGTTTTTAAATTTTGAAATAAAAAAGTCCCAATTTTGGTAATTGTATAGTATCAATGTCCTGTTTGGGGAAAAAGGGCAAGTTTCTGATTTACTGGGTTGAAGAATGCCTAGAGATTTCTGGTGTTTTGTAAACACCCAAGTTAGCTTTCCATGGGTATTTAAACTGCCCAAGGCCCTTAGGAGTTGCTCAGGAGTCAGTGGGAGTGAGGTGCCCACATGGAATTTGTAATTGCTGTTGTGGAATTTTGTGTTGGAGTCCCCAGAAGCGATGGGAGATGCTGCAGGGAGAAGATTGATGGTGCATGGGTGGGAGGACACAGCCTGCAGCCTCAGGTGCTGCAAGCTTTATTTTTTGCCATTGCTTTTAGGTTATTCCTTTGCAAAGACAGGAGTGAGGGAGATTCCTCCTGCAGAGGAACTGCTGTGATGTGGTTTGCTTTGAAAGTTTAAAACGTGAACACTCTGTAGGTGGGGGTTTCTATTGGCAAAATACAAAGGGAAAATGCACAAATGTACTGATCTGAAAACAATTCCCAATAGATTGTGTTGATAAAAGCTTTTTTCGTGGCACTGGGGTGGTTGTGGGTGCTTCTCAATTAATGTTTGGTTGGAACAGGAGAGCTCTGGGTGTCTGTCCCAGAGCATTTGCAGCAGGGCACAGTTTTTGCTATTTAGAGCTGAGATGGAAAGTTCCTATTTCGATTTGGTGCCAGAGTCTTTAATAGAAATCATGGCTTGTGGTGTATTATAGGTCAGCGTATATTTGCTAGTTTATATTATGCTGACTAAATTGGCAGAATGCTTATTTTTACTGGTAAACATTCAGGAGGTTTTCTCCTCGCTCCTTCTTTTTCCAACAAAATGTTATTTGTCGTGTGTAGGAATTAAGGCAGCATTTTATAAATCATCTGCCTCAGCGATGATGTGAAAATGTGTGGTGGCACACAAAGATTTCCATTGTCAGGTACCACAGGGCTCTAGATGGACTTAACTTAGGCCTAATTTTAGGTCTGGAAATTATGGCTGTGTAAAAAACAAAATGCTTCTGGCAGTGTAGGAAAAATACAAATTCTAAACTCCAGCAAAAGCAACTATTTCAGGGATATTACCAGAATAGGTAACCCTGGTTAATTTAGCTCCTCTCCAAGCCCCTGATGGAGCCCCAAAAGCACTTTTTTTACATCTTTAAATCCCTATGAGGTCTAAATCCGACCAGAGGATGTGAGTTCCAGTAAATCCATGGTGGTGAAGTGCAGCACTGTGCTGCAGGCTATAGGAGCAGTGAGACATTTAATTGAAATGGGGAAAGCCTGGTCAGGCTTTAACGCCTGCTTAGCACCGGTCTGTCCTGTGCTCTGCACAGCCAACTGTGGCATCGCTGGAATTATTACACAGCTCCCAAATGCTGGCAGTGGCTTTTCTGGGAAGTGTGAGATTTTATATAAAAATTTAGCATCTACTCAGTCTGCCCCAGTTGGAAATTCTGTGATTCCTCTGCTGAAGAATTGTGCTCTTTTGTTCCTGGGTCCAAAGGTAGGTTTAAAGAATAGAGAAAGACATTTAGGGACATATTTAAAAGTTGAATCAGCAAGTTCCAGTTTCCCCCCTAATTTTTCCCTTGCATAGTTATATACCAGACAAGCTTGTTTTGGACAGCATTTTATAAAGGGAATCATCTGAGAATCTGAACGTTTATTCAGTTTTTGATCTGCAATATTTGGCATTAATGTGAACTGTAGCCCTGGAATTTATAACCACGACTGTAAGAAGAGGAACAAAGCTTTTATTTCTCTGTGAATAGTCATGGTTTGCAGAGTGAGGTAATCACAGCCCAGCGCTGGGATTGCAGCCTGCCAGGGGAGATCTGGGTGAAAAAGCTGAGGGGGAATCTGAGTGAAAAAGTGGAGGGGGAACCTGAGTGGAAACAGCTGAGGGGGGGATCTGAGTGAAAAAAGGTGAGAGGGGGAACCTGGGTGAAAAAGCTGAGAGGGGAAGCCTGAGTGAAAAAGCTGAGAGGGGAAACCTGGGTGAAAAAGCTGAGAGGGGGGAACCTGGGTGAAAAAGCTGAGAGGGGGATCTGAGTAGAAAAAGCTGAGGGGGGGAATCTGAGTGGAAAAAGCTGAGAGGGGGAACCTGGGTGAAAAAGCTGAGGGGGAACCTGGGTGAAAAAGCTGAGAGGGGAAGCCTGAGTGAAAAACTGAGGGGGAACCTGGGTGACAAAGCTGAGGGGGGGAACCTGGGTGAAAAACTGAGGGGGGGAACCTGAGTGAAAAAGCAGAGAGGGAACCTGGGTGAAAAAGCTGAGAGGGGGAACCTGGGTGAAAAAAGCTGAGAGGGAACCTGGGTGAAAAAGCTGAGAGGGGAAGCCTGAGTGAAAAAGCTGAGAGGGGAAGCCTGAGTGAAAAAGCTGAGAGGGGAAGCCTGGGTGAAAAAGCTGAGAGGGGAAGCCTGAGTGAAAAAGCTGAGAGGGGAAGCCTGGGTGAAAAAGCTGAGGGGGGGGATCTGAGTAGAAAAAGCTGAGGGGGGGAATCTGAGTGGAAAAAGCTGAGAGGGGGAACCTGGGTGAAAAAGCTGAGGGGGAACCTGGGTGAAAAGCTGAGAGGGGAAGCCTGAGTGAAAAACTGAGGGGGAACCTGGGTGACAAAGCTGAGGGGGGGAACCTGGGTGAAAAACTGAGGGGGGGAACCTGGGTGAAAAAGCAGAGAGGGAACCTGGGTGAAAAAGCTGAGGGGGGGAACCTGGGTGAAAAAGCTGAGGGGGGGAACCTGGGTGAAAAAGCTGAGAGGGGAAGTCTGAGTGAAAAAGCTGAGGGGGGAATCTGAGTGAAAAAAGCTGAGAGGGGGAACCTGAGTGAAAAAGCTGAGAGGGGGAACCTGAGTGAAAAAGCTGCTGCAAAATAGGTTAGTTCAGCCTTTGGGATCATCCAGGGTGAGCTACCCCTGTCCTGGTGCCTTTTCTCACCACTTGTTCCAGCATAAAGCGTGGTTTGGGATGCCTTGTCCATCCTACAACCGCATCCCACGTGTGCAGTCTGGGGGGTGTTACTGGGGAATTTCGGGGGGTGTTACTGGGGAGTTTCGGGGGGTGTTACTGGGGAGTTTCGGGGGGTGTTACTGGGGAATTTCGGGGGGTGTTACTGGGGAGTTTCAGGGGGTGTTACTGTGGGATTCCAGGGGGTTTTGCTGCGTGCTCCCCAGGGGGTGTTTGTCACTGTGTCTCTGTGGGTGACCCCTGTCGTGTCTCCCCGGGCAGGTGAAGCGGCGCTGAGAGGGGAGCCCCGAATGCAGCCCCTGCAATCCCCCGCGCTCAGCAACCACCGCACGGGCCCGCCGCCCATCAGCCCCAGCAAGAGGAAGCTCAGCATGGACCAAGGGGACGAGGAGCTGGACTGTGAAAACGACCACGTCTCCAAAATGAGCCGCATGTTCAACCCGCATCTGTAAGTGCCTCGCGTCTGTCCCTGCACGGCACTGAGCGCTGCCTGCTAAAATCTGCTAAAATCGTGTCCTGGCTCCAACTTTGCGCTCGGTTTTTTTCCCTTTGTTCCAGTTTGTGTGGGAGATCTGCACAAGAGCAGCCGTGATTAGATGGGTTTTCATGTTTTCTTTTGTTTTTGTACAGCGTGAAGTAACAGGAATTAGCTCAGCCTAACTATTTATAGCAAGCCATACGTATTCACCTTGCGATTCCTGCAGTATTGTTCCCTCGTTCTTTGTAAGGCTCTCCTTTCACTTCCCCCCATTCTGAGGCTCTCTGGCTGGGGGTGGGGAGGCAGCAGCAGGAGGAGGGACACGAGTGCTTTGCATTTTTCCGAGGCCAGCAGCTCCGAGGCAGCTGCTTCCTGGGCTGCCTTGACAACTGGGCAAGCGGCAGTTGTTGCTACACATTCCTGCTCTGACAGTCAGGTGTGGAATGTGCCGGCCAGGTAAGGCGTTGATGAGCCGTGTTGGGCAATCAGCAGATGCCATTGCTGGGAATGCGAGCCTGGCTGGCACTGCTGCAGAATTCCTGTCATTCCTGCCTGGAGGAAGCATGGATGGAGCTCCTGTGGCTGCTGCCTCAGCTCCTGCAGCCCCGGCATTCCGCGCATTCCACAGTCATGGGATGTGGACTGAGGGATTTATCCTGCCATAAATCACCGCAGCCTTACTCACAGGCTGGGCCCGCAGTCTGCAGCCTTGGAATTTGTTACAAATCGGGAATCCAGCGCTGAAGTAATGCAAAACAATGAAAGCTCCCTTCTCATTTACAGCATACCTCCTCCTCTCCCCGAAAAATTAACTATTTATAGCCTTGCTCTGGGGCCAGGAGGGCTTGGAAAGAACCGTGTGCTGCATTTCTGGATGCATGACACAACTGAGGAGATTTATGGCATTTTTGAAATGTTATGTAACTTTATGGGGGAAAAGTGTGATTTTTTTTTTTTAAAGGCTCATTTTCTATTGATGAAATAAAACACAGCTGGCAGTTACGTACATTATAACACTTTATATAGCGGAGGCCATAAAAATAATGAAGTCTGAACCAACAGACTCATGTGCAACCAAGGCTCTAAACTAAAAGATGCAGGCAGTTATTTCATGTGATCCCTTAGCTATATGTCAGAACTGTCTAATAGTTTCCAGTGTGGTACATTTTTATGGTTTTTTCAATAGAGTCTTTCTGTGATTTTGTATATGAGACACTCTTCTTTTCTTGTAATAAAAAGCAGAGGTTTTCTGCCCAGGGTTCATGTGACTTAATCTGTTTCAATTAAACTATCTGCTGCAGATGAATTATAATCTAAAATAGCATGCATGAGGCCATCTCTTTTTCTACTTTATTTTGTAAGTTTGATCTGGCCATACAAAAGTATGCTTTCAATGGGATATTATGAAAACTCAAACATTTGTGATTCATCTAAAATAGCTGGATTTTTGTGTATTTCAGATATATCAGAAAAGTTCACAAACATTCTCTGAATTTTGTTCTCATTTCCCTGTCACTGCCTCAAATGGAGTTATTTTTTTACCGTTTTTCATATTTTCCATCTTTTTCTGATTCTCATGTTCTGGTTTACCAGTAAAATTGGATTACTCAAGCCCTGTGGATCTGTCCAGAGAATTTTAGTTGGGAGATGGGAAGTGTATTGTGGAAGCTTGGCTTGTTCACACCCAAGAAAACACAGTAGATTTGGGGAAGAATTATTTTCTGGAGCACGATAATGGCAGCCACTGGAGTGACTTGGAGGTTCTGGAAGTGTAAGGTTGACAATGTTCATTTTAGAAATCCAAATGTGTGAGAGATGTGGAGTGTAGTGTAGAGATCAGGTGCCACGGTGTCTGTGGTGCCAGCAAAGACATTTCTGTGACTGGGACTGTAAAGATTAGTTTGAGGCTGTGTGGTTTGAATTTTTCAGGGCCAAGTTCCCTGAAAGCACAGGATGAAAGTGTTCCTGACACACAACCTGGGCACAGCTGACACAAGTCTTTATAACCCCCAGCAGCAGCTCTTGTTCAGGCATTTGGGTCTTTGTGATGGTGCTGGTAGAACTGGGAAGCAGTTGTGTATTCATTCTCTTAACACCAGCATCTTGTGGCTGGAAATGTAATTAAATAGGCCAAGAATTGTGTGTTTGGTTCTTTAGAAACGGTGGAACCTTTTCCTTAGCAATCTGATCTTAACTCCGAGGTAGCAGCACCCCCACTGTGCTTGAGCAGGAATGAATCCATTGAAAGGCTTTGGATGTGTTGTTAGAAATGCAGTTACGTCAGCCTTTTGTTGGGAAATGGAGTGCTCGGAGACATTCCCTGCTCAGGTGTAATTCCCTGAAGGATCGTTTGTGAGCTCTACTTGGGTCTGTTTACTTTTATGGTGGAAAAACACAACTATTGGAGTGCAGTCTCTGGAGCAGAGTGAATCAAATGCCCTGGCAAGCCGAGCAGGATCCTCAAATGTGTAATGGAATGAATGTGCAAAGAACACTTTATCAAATGTGCTTTTTCAAAGGAGAGAATTCTCACTGCTAGGATAATAATATACTTGAGAGCTTGTGGATTAATTAAAAAAAACAAACTGACACTGCCTCCCTTCCATGTACTTTTATAGCTTCTATGTTTTTGTGGTGATAGAAGTTGTGAACACCCATAAACTCCTTGGCTGGATAGAACAAGTACTTCCTAATTAAAATATAGTGATAGGTAATATAGAATTCCCTTATTTTTCTGGTGTGTCCCTCAGGTGTTTGTCTTGAAATGCACTCACTGTAGTTAAGCCTTGCTAAAATAAAAGGTGCTTTTGGTTTTGTGCTGCTCTGTGGAGGAGAAGGGAGCTTGTTTTGAGGTTCGGCTTGAAACATGGCTTTGTTTTCCCGTGAATTCATTATAACCACCGTGGTTCACAGAGAGTGATTGGGAAATAGGATTACACGAGAATTCTGTGCGGTGCCGGGGCGGCTGCCTCCATCCTGACCCGTCCGGGGAGCGCTTGGGGCAACGCGGCCGGGCCCGGGGCCCTCCTGCCCGAGCTCCCTCCTGCCCTGGCTCCTCCTCGAGCTCCCTCCTGCCCGAGCTCCCTCCTGCCCTGGCTCCTCCTCGAGCTCCCTCCTGCCCTGGCTCCTCCTCGAGCTCCCTCCTTCCCGAGCTCCTGCCCTGGCTCCTCCTCGAGTTCCCTCCTGCCCTGGCTCCTTCTCGAGCTCCCTCCTGCCCTGGCTCCTCCTCGAGCTCCCTCCTTCCCGAGCTCCTGCCCGAGCTCCCTCTCTCCCTCCTTCCCGGGCCCCCATCTTCCCTGGCTCCCTCCCTTTCTCCTTCCATGTTTCTCTCCTGCTTCCCTTCCCTGTCTCACTCCTGCTCTCCTCCCTCCTCTTCTCCTTCCCTGTCTCACTTTGCTCTCCTCCTTCCTCTTCTCCTTTCCTTTTCCTCCTGCTCTCCTGCCTTTCCTTCTCCTTCCCTGTGTCACTTTGCTCTCCTCCTTCCCCTTCTCGTTCCCTGTCTCACTCCTGCTCTCCTCCTTCCCCTTCTCCTTCCCTGTCTCACTTTGCTCTCCTCCTTCCCCTTCTCCTTCCCGGTCTAACTCTTGCTCTCCTCCTTCCCCTTCTCCTTCCCGGTCTAACTCTTGCTCTCCTCCTTCCCCTTCTCCTTCCCTGTCTCACTTTGCTCTCCTCCTTCTCCTTCCCTGTCTCCCCCCTGCTCTCCTCCCTCCCGTGCTCCCTCCCGCTCTCCTCCCCGCTCTCCCGCTCCCTCTCTCCCTTTTCTTCCCTCCTTCCCCTCTCCCCCTTCCCTCCCTGGTCCCTCCCCGGTGTCTCTCCTCCCCCTGCCCGTCCCTCCCGTTCCGCAGTCCCGGCACACAAAGGCCGCCTTGTCCCGGCCGCCCCGCCGCCCTAAGAGTCCCCAGCGCGGCCGGCGGGCACGGCGCTGCCCCTTCCAAAGAAACGGCCTTTGCAATTCAGAACATTATTTTTGTTCCTTGTGCTAGTACGTCAGCCTGGAAGCTGGCCTTTGGGGTTTGGGAATTTTCCCCTCGTTCCCGTTTGGTTTGGTGGTATTAGGATTGTGATGGCAATTTATTTGTGTATAAAAATCTTCCTACAGCTAAATGTTCGCAGCTGTGAAGTCGAGGGAATAATTGTCTCTTGGTTTGTGTGATAAATAATTTGGCTTTTTCTTGTAATAAAAGGTCGACACATGAATAAGATACTTTAGTGTGTATCATGTAAAATGATGTGTAGTTTCCAACTCTTCAAATTCTGGGCTGTCTTCAGTTTTGTTACACTGAAGAATGATGGCAAGCCCACCCAAAACACTCCTGAAGTTTTTTACCATGAATATCCAATGACATTTGCTTACTTTAATGACACTGTGATAGAAATTAGTGGAGCATCCTTTAAAAAAAATGTGTACTAAAAGTTACCTTTATTTGAAGACCGTGGAATAATTCAGGCTAGAACAGACTATTTCATCCAACCTCCTGCTCAGAGCGGGCTCAGCTGCATCTTCAGCAATTTTAGAGTTGCTCAAAGGGAGAAATTTTGAGTAAGATTTGAAATATTGAGTAAATAAAGCTCCTCATCAGAGGATTCTTGTCACCTTCCTCCTTAGCTTGGCTGAGAGCACAGGGTGGAAATGTTCTGCAGAAAATCCCTGTTGTGGAGGAACGTGGCTCCAGCAGGGCTTGAAAAGATGCAGAGCTGGCTCTGAGGTAGCGTGGGAGTTGTCAGAGAAGCTCTTTGCTGCTCTTTGGGTTCCAAACTTCATGTGGTATTGAGAAATATGTTCCCACTGTCATTTTATTGTGACAAATTGGATTGGGAAAAAACCCCAGCACACAGCTGAGAACACCCAAAGTGTGTCTCATGTGCTGAGTGAAGCATCCTCACCCTGTCCTCGGCACAAATGTGCCCCTGAAGGATTTTGGGGTTCACCTGGGGCTCTCTGAGCAATCCTGCTGGAGCTGCACTCCTCA